TGCTCATCCACTTGATACCTACTCCATTGGAGGCCAAGTCCTCCATCTAGGAGAAGATCCCCCCAAGTGGATTTAAGCCCTCCACCTAGGGGAAGATCCATCTTGGACTCAAGACCTCCTCTTGGAGATGAGCTAGCTACTTGTATCTTTCCTTTTTTTGTTCTTGAATCTTTGTGACCTCTTGTGTTCATGGATCTAGCACATGTGTAATCGATTCTTGTGGATTTGAGTGTTTTATCCTCGTTTCCCCTCGTGTTACTCCTTGTGTTCTTCGTGGGATTCCCTCCACATCGTGAAAGATCGGCCTTAGGGTATCCACCCTACATCACAAGTTACGTAGATGTTTCTATTATGTGCGTAGTACATGCCTACCTGGTAATATATCAGTATGAATTTAATATTATCAATGCCATGTTCATAATTTAATTTTGGAACATATTAATCAAAAATTGCTAATTTACTCAACAAGCAGAGTGGAGGAAAGACACACACGAGGACCCAATGGTTGGCAAGGTGATCGATTTGGCGTTGTGGTTGATCGACGATGATGAGTGTTGCCCAACATTATAACAGTGAATGACTCAAAGGGCAACATTAGAGCATCTCCAACAGCCGCCATATAACAGGGCAACTGCTTAAAAACTATTTTTAGGGCATGAAGTAGCAAAAATTGCTCTCCAACAATTGCCTATTTGTATAATCATGTGGTCCCATCTTGAGGCTGCCCAAAAAACCCACCCCTTTTGTATATTTGCATCATGTGTGTGGCTGCCACAAACGCAAAACCGCAGCCCGGTGCTGCCCCACGCATGCTAACCACCACCTAGAAGCCTCCCTCCCCTAGCACGCACACACAATCGCTTACCCTCCCGTGCGGCACAGCCGCCGATTCCAGCTGCTCCAGGCCACTGCATAATTGTGTCGCCCCGCCCCACCACAGATCCACTGCCCCCTCCTCTCTTTGACCTCTGGCACCCCCGCAGCTCGTCGCCTCCACCATCACCAAATCTGACCGTCTGCTATCACCAAATCCGATTGCCCCGCCGCAGATCCATCGCCCCCTCCGTCTCTACAGTCGTCGACAGCCCCACAAGCCACCATTGCACCTTTTGTCGATGGTCCTCTGCCACAATGTCGTTGCTCAGTGGGCCGAAGAGCAAGAGCGGCTACCCCGACGTCCGATTGTGGGGCTCCGATCGCTATGCGGCTGGGCTCATGCGCGACGGGCAGCACCATTGGCTCTGCACGTTCAACACGGCGGTGCTCGCTATCCACACCTTCGACATCGCTTATTGAAGGCTAGGTTGGTCGAAGAGGGTTTTGAACTTCTGGAGATTGAAACTCATGAGATAGAGGAGTTCATCGGTCCCCCTGTGGAGATTGTGACCATGGCGGAGAAGAGGGATACTGAGATCGTCCTGGAGCGGTGCGACATCCATCAGAGGGATGAGGCCACTATGGCAAGGCTTGCGGCGAAAAATCTACACCTTTTGGTGCAACAAAAGAAGTCGGTGAAGGAGGTGGAGGACAAGGCTAGACCCTCAATGGTGATCGAGCTCAGGTAAGAGGACGAAGTGAAGAAGGTCGACGAGGAGTCATGGACAAACTTAGTGGAAGTAGTTGTTAGTAGTTGCATGTAGCTTGCAGTACTCGAATATGTTAAGTTTGTATCGGAACTCTGTTTAAATTTGCATGTTTGCAGATCTATGCTTGAATCAAATTTGCAATGATCTAGTCTAGTCTAGTTTCGATGTTTTGGTGCCCTATTATAGAAAGTTCTTGGAGCAGTGTTGCCCTATCATAGAGTTGCTATTGGATCATAAAAAATCCATGTCCTAAAACTTACTTTTTTGCATCCTAAAACTACTTTTGGGTGCCCTATAATAGGGTGGTATTGGAGATGCTCTTACTTTTATTTTTCTCTTGGTTTTGGAGGACGGTAAGATCTTCGACGTGCATCTCTGACCAGACCTTACACGTGAGTAACAAACATCGTCGTAGAAGTATCAGCAAAAAAAAGGAGTAACTGCATGCTACTTTCATTTCCTTCTGGCAAGGTTTTGCTACTTCAACATCTGATTAGCTGGTAATGCTGACGCATCCTCTCCAATCACTGCAGCTATTAGTATTCCCTCTATAAAGAAATATAAGAGCATTTACATCACTACTTTAATGATCTAAACACTCTTATACTTTTTCACGAAGGGAGTATTTGACAGGGATCTTCAGGTGACTGAAATACACCACACAGGAGGCCGCAGCAGTTGCGAGTGCGACAACACGGAGCAACGGGCAGAATTAGGACTCTGCGAAGAAATATCACCACACCTAACGATCGTGTATTCAAAGCATCTTTAAAGGTGATATAGATGTAAAAGTAACTAACTTATACATCTTCAAGACCCAAAACCTACCTCCAACAGATGATGTAGATGCAAAAAAAATTACATCACCTACTCGAAGAGATGTAAAATACAACACCTGGATATGGAAATTTGCATCTCTACCTCCACGTGATGTAAAACAGTCGGTCACGCGCCAACCGCCCAACTGGCTTCATTTCACTTTTGCCTACCCCTACCCCTCCCCGCCCCCGTCCGCCCGACAGCTGCCCGCCACTGCCACCCGCCCATCCATCTCCGACCCCGCCCTCCTGCCTCGCTGCCAATTTGATTCGGAGATTCCCCGGAGCTCCAGCTGTTGTGATGATGTCAACGGCGTAGTCATGGACGCGTTGGCGCTTCTGGTAACCACGACCCGTTGCCGGAGCTAGGGGAGCCGCGCGACGCCGCCTACCTGCGTGTGGAGTCGCCTTGCTACGAGACTTGATGAACTTCAGAAAGACTGGAGTACTGGAAATGGAATGGCGAAAGAACATCCTTTTTCATTATTTGCTTGATGTATTGTGCAAGAACTTTATTGTATTTCTGTTGCATTCGATGTTGTGGATTTAATGAATTATGTAATTATTTGATATTGTGGACAAGCAAAAAAATATGTTTTAATTCGATATGTTTTTATTTTAAATTGTGCAACTGTATAGTGGTTCTGTGCCAGCGGTTTTTTACATCTTCAATATGCATCATCTATTGGAGTTCAACTTTTACATCACCAATACACACATCATATGTTCAAGTTGCCTCTTTTTTGGAAATGTAAGATGCACTTTTTGATAATGTAAATTATACAACACCTAATTTTACAACTCCAAATTTGCATCATCTATTGAAGATGCTCTAACAAATATAGACAAAGGAGCTACTCGTTCTAGAAGATAACTCAATCTGGAGTTGTTTCCACAGACTATGGATCTTCATTTGCGTAGGTAGTGTATATATATCTAAAGACCAAGTCCTCCCACAAAAGATGTAAATAGCCAATAGAAGACATGACAAGTAATATAACAGCAAGTAAAGGCAGCAATAAACCACAAGTCACATCAGACGCTCTATTGCTCTAGCAGCATCTCACCCAAATGGTTCGACAGAAATAGCTGGAACTCACTGAAAAGAAACGCAGCTGGGATTCAGATTCTGAGCGTGCACGTACATACCGGAGCATTTGCACACACAAGTGTTAATAGGACTAGCAGGAGCTAACGTAATTCTGTAAAATGGAATGGATTCATGTTCATGGTACCCAAAACGTAGTAGATCATGGTAAAATGGAACACTACCATATAGTACAAGAGATCTTATCGCCTATTAGGAGTCTGACTCTGAGAAAGCGTGTCTTCGCCAAGGTTCACGATTTAGTTCTTCAACCTGGCTACTCAATTACTCCGTTCCTAAATACTCCCTTTGTAAAGAAATATAAGAGCATTTAGATCACTAGAAACGCTCTTATATTTCTTTACGGAGGGAGTATAAGTCTTTTTAGAGATTTCAATAAGGACTACATACGAATGTATATAGACATATTTTAGAGTTTAGATCCACTCATTTTGCTCCGTATGTAGTCCGCATTGAAATCTCTACAAAGACTTATATTTAGGAACGCAGGGAGTATTTATGAGCCAATTGTGTGCAGTGGTAATTCTGCAAGCCGCTTCATCATACCAATACAAGAGATGGATTTATTTTTCCTTAATATAGTCGATTCTTTTAATAAACCAAAAAATGTTTTGTTATTTATATCCCATCCATGCCAAACAAACAAAAAAATCTACCATTCAAGCCGCATATGCTGATGTAACAGGATGGTGTCAATATAACATGACTGTCCTACGTCAGACGGCATCTACAATTAACGAAGATTTTACCAGTTCCTGCTGCGGCTGTTGTGCTACTTGTGGTGGATAGTTTGGGTAGCCAGCATATGTCCCATACCCATACATGTTAGGGTCCTGAGGGGGAGTAGCATATCCATAAGCCCTGTAGCCTTGTCCGTAGCCATAGTAGCCAGCATTAGCAGTAGCACCACCCCACTGGTTGAAGTCCTGTTGGGACTGAAAATGTATAGCTTCAGTTGGTTGGAGGGGTAATGAAAGCAAGTCCAATATGTGAGAGATGAAATCACCTGAACTTGTTTGTTTGAAGGGCTCCGACCCCATGAAAGTCTCACATTCTGCCCTCCAATCATGGTACCTTGCAGCATTAGCAGGGCTTACTCTGCAGAGGATCTGAATTTTACAGTAACAGACTGCTTAGAATTTAAATGAATAAAATGATTGGTACCACGAAACTAGGGTAAAATAGTGAACCTGCTAGCATATTGAACAAAACCACATCTTTTGCCAACAGGTATCTTAACATGGACGACTTCTCCATATGGAGTGAAAAGTTGTTTTAACACATCCTCAGTGGCGTTGGGGTCAAGGCCACCAACAAATATCTGCATTCACCAAAGATAGATGATCTATCAAACATAACCAATCAGCAGGCTAGTTGCTTCCATTCAAGGAAACAGAACAAAGAACGCACAGTGGAATTGCTAGGATCATTGTCAGTCTGAACCCCCTGAGAACTTGGTACTGTAAATAAACACAAATAAAGATATACTACCAGACTTGAGGGATATTGAACTGAAAAACAAATATATGAATAATTATGCCCTGCAGGTTACTAAATTTTTAATTGACTTGAATAGGAATGCTTGGTAAATGCAATTGTTCATACAAAAGCCATGTCACGCTTCACACATTCTAGCTAGCAATAACTAGGTCATTATATACCGCAGTATCAAGCATAATGAATTACAACTTCATTAAATACTCCCTCCGTCCCATAATATAAGAATGTTTTTGACACTATGTGGTGTCAAAACGTTCTTATATTATGGGACGGAGGGAGTAATATGTAGGGGAAAAGGGCAAATCAGGCGTATCACATATCATTGTGCATCAAATCCTCAGAAACTACACCGAACATCAGAACAAAATAACACTGCAAGATTGCAATGACGAAAGTGTAATCCTTGTAGATAGTGTATATCATTCTTCAGTCCTTGGACAACTATTCAACGGCCAAAAGAACTAATAATGAGAAGACGGATAATAAACTATTAACATAAATTTCAGAGTTTGCTTTTGAAAATTAATCAGGCCAACTTGAGGACTACACAAGTAAAATAATTAATGATATGTTAAAATGCCTGCTGATCAATGCAATCAATGGAACTTGCAGGACCCCAAACAATTGCAAACCTAGCTTGCAGGAGCCTCCAAAAAAGATGCCGATGGAGCACGGGATGGCGATTTTGCTAGACCCACTTTGTCAACAAAAATTGCCATACGAACAGTTATTATGGCAAATCGGGCTAATATGGCGACTCTACTAGAGTTGCTCTTAAACCAATATATGTCCAAAAAATGAAGTTGTTCATGAAGCTAATCAAGTCATTATTAGTGCTCAAAATATCTCAACAAGCTTTGAACCTCAAATCCAGAAAGACAAATAGGACAGCTGAGTGTTTGCAACATCAGGACCCAGAATAAGCTGATTAGCAAATAAACAGACACCAGAACTCAACAACTAGCTGTGACGCCAAATCTCAATTTGACAAAGCTAACTAATACAGTTGCAAGGAAATAGAATCACAAGGTGCAAACAATCGGCTAACAAACTAAACAACCAGGCAAAGGATGTGTGGCATATAAAAATGTCACAGCTCCAAACATTTCATTATGTGTAGCATATAGAAATGTCACAACTCCAAAAATTACGTTATGTGTGTGTGTGTGCTTTTATCATATACGATTTCTTGGATGAACTTAGCACAAAGAGCCTCCAGGTACAAAAGGTTCTAACCATTCCTAAGAAATCTGTACAGAAATGTAGGGAAAGGCTGCGTACTATAGACCCAAAGTGGTCGGACCCTTCCCTGGACCCTGCGCAAGCGGGAGCTACATGCACCAGGTTGCCCTTAAACCCATGTTGGGACTACTAAATCCCATAACTGTTTTACAAGACATTACACTATACATGTTCTGCCACAGATCCTACGACCGGTGAAGGTTGTGAACTTCAAGAGACAGCTTTAATTCAAGATACAGGAAGAAATAAAACGAGTAAGTGGAAGGAACCAAACTGGAAAGGAAGTACTGGATACCAACCGAACCAGGTTCAAATTTAGGACATAAACGATTAACACTGACCTAACAGAGGCCACACATTACACAAGATAGGTAATGCTGTTCATGTCAGTCGTAGAGAGCCTGTTGGTATCCTGCTTCGAGACAATGGGAGTTTTATGAGTATACCTCAGAATCCTAATGTATTATTAAATGATCCGAATTCACGAAGGAAATGTTGTGGATCGACAAACTTATTGCTCAAGCCAAGCTTCAATACATTTTCAACTAGTAATAAAGGAAACTGAACCACAGAAGGCTAATACAACAAGTAACTGCAAGGACAACTAAGGACAAAATGAACACATAAAATCAATTACAAGTCAAATGCAAATGTAATAATCTTTAAAACGCAGCTAAAACAAATTAAATCTACCCAACTAGGATTTAGTGCTTACCTTTCTCTTGAACTCCAGTTGCTTTTTGCTTATTTGCAGCTGGTCCAATACGCATGGGCCTCGAAGAACAGAGCATCCCATTCATTTCAGTCATTGCACGAGTTTGCTCTGTAGGATCACCAAATTTCACAAAGCCATAGCCCTTTGGGCGCATTGTCAGTTTATCCATTACAACTTTTGCACCCTTAACCGAGGGGTACTGTACCCTAAATGTCTCTTGCAATACGTAGTCTGTGACATCAGCAGCCAAATCACCAACAAATATTGTGTAATCGGCGCCATCATCACGTTTTTCACCAGCAGTCGCCCAGTTCAATCTGTATGCCATCTCAACATTTGGCATCATTGCCCCGTTGAATGTCTGAAGAACTCTTTCAGCGCCAGCATGGCTTGTGAATTCAATGAAGCCATAACCTTGAAGTTGTCCAGTCTGCTTGTCACGAATCAGCTTCACAGATTGCACCTATACAAATTAAAGAGGACAATACGAAAGATCAATATACTGTGTGTAAACGATAGACACAAACTGAGAGTATAATTTGTAGAACACATGATGATAAATAATCACAAATCTGAATCAGCCAACCAGTTACAACATCAATCAACCAGTTACAATAGAAAAGCAACTCAGTTTCGCAAAATACCTTGGCCGCAGTCATTCCTATAATGTTGTTTCAGTTTATACTGTGAAACAGATAAGCGTAAGAACCAATAACAGAACCAAGGAAAAAAAACTGAGCCTGATCGCATGGCTCAAGTTGCTTTTCAGAAAGTATAAACAATTAGCTGAAGAATAACAGTAGTTTGGAGACCAGACACAACGTGTATTACATCAATCACGGATACGTATTCGTGTTTGCATCAAGCGTCACCCACGGCCCCACGAAAAATCACAGGCAAATCCACATCGACATATATTGAACCAATTATACAGAGGATTCTGAGGAGATGGCACCGGAGAGCGAGAGGCGCATACCTCGCCGGTGCTCGCGAAGCAATTGTAGACGTAGTTCTCGTCCATCCAGTACTGCAGGTCCCCTATCCAGAGTGTCCTGACCTCGTTGGGCCCAGCGGGCGCCTGCGTCGGGGCAGCCGGCCGGCCGTAGTACGCGGCCTGCTGGGGCGGCAGCGGCTGGCCCCACATCTGCGGGGGCAGGAGCGGGGGCGCCGGCGCGCAGAGCTGGTGCGGCGGCATGGGCGGTGGGATGGCGCCCCACTGCGGCGGGGCGACGCCGGGCTGCGGCTGGGGCATCATGGCGGCTGGGACGATGAACCCTGGCGCGGAGAGGGGGCAGGAAGAGATTGGGATGTGTGCGCGTGAGGGCCAACGCGAGATATTATGGGGTTGTTTGGATACGGCGATTGGTTTTTGTAAAGTTCTGTTTGGTTACGGTAACAAATGCGAGGATAACGAAAGATTGGTTTCTGCAAAACGAAAAACTGAGTTTTAGGAACAGTTTTTTTAACAAAATATCAGCTTTATTTATTGAAAAAAAATGTTTACATAGTCAATAAAAAAACAACTAGTACATATGCCCGTGCGTTGCAACGGATGAATAATTTTTTTAGTTACAGATTGGTATTTTTTTAAGCAACCATATATTTCATTAGACAATCTGTTCACAAAGATTACACATATGATCACCATACGAGACAAACATGCTTGTCAAGCAACTTTGCACAAAGAATTTCATAAGAAGTAAAGTTAATATTCCATCCTTGAAAAAACGTGTGCCTCGCCGAAACGTAGTCCACAAACCTCCTTTGTCGTCACATTAAGAGCAATATCAAGCATAGCTAAAATAATAAGAGCAATACCAGCGCTCTCCTGTTTGTCGTTTGTGCCATTCGTCTGCCTCGTCTTCTCCTTCTCTAGTTGTCATAAACAAAATAAATATCTCTTGGGAAAAAAATAAACTACATTTAAAAATCTAACATATGGGCAAGGCCTATATTTCCAGGTGCATACTTTTTTCTAACACACAATAAAAATCCACAGTGGGAACCACTCTATTACCATTAGTGGTCATAAGCTAGTTTGCATCCATAATATCCTCCAAAAATAAAAAGGCATAAGCAACGAAACACACAAAAGAACACTTCCTTATTTCTTTATGAATTATGATTAGCAACTTGACTCCATTTGACAATAAAAATTAACTTTGTTTCTTTCCGACCATTAAAACTGAGTAGGGCCACAATTTCCTACTGGAAAGAAGAAACTTGGCATCCAAAAAATAGCACTTTGTACAATGTTTTAGTAATATAGCTCAATGCAAGCCATGGTTCAGATTTCTGCTCAAAATTCAAATAGAAACATTGAAGTTTAATTTACACTACATCACAGCAGCTTCCAATTCAAAGTGAGTCGAGTGACAATTGTTTGTTGTTAAAAATACTCTAAATCCTCAGCTCTAAAATACATCGCACTGCATACTCATGGCTACGTGTAGGCCTACATTTACCTCGTCTTTCTCTGCGGCAGCTACAGCCATCCAGTCCTCCTTCTACTGCTTCTTCTCTTGTCCCTGTACAATTTCTTCTCTTCTACTTCCTTCTGGACTGGTCCTTGCCTGGCTCCAATGCAGCAGCATCGGAGGACAGAGAAAGCAGGTAGGTGTAGAAGAAGTTTCTTCCATCACAAAGTACATGAACCACATACCCTGGTTGACTGAGAAAATATGACATCACATAGCAATCAACAGCGGTACAACACTACCCCTCTCTGTATGAAATCAGAGAGCAATAAATCTCTCTCAGTATAAAATGGAAGGATGTATATCTCTCTCTGTATAATGTCACAAAGTAATCACTTCTCTCCCTCTCTATAAAATCGAAGCATCATTTGAGTACTTGTGAGTTACGGTAGCAACAACAAAAATAGCAGCAACATATGTGCATGTATCAAACAGCTTGCCATGTCTATGAGCAAGCAGCAACAATAGCAAAATTTAGCTAGCAGCAGCAATAACAGAATTCAGCTACCAGCCATCATCCATCCCATCCCAACACCATCATAACACTCATCTCACTATGCTTGCAGCCCTCACACCTGAATTTGATCTGCCTACACAACAAATCCAAGAGCTCACTTGATTAGGACGGCAATGGTGGAACCGAGCAGATCGGTCGGTGCTAACAGCTCCACCACCACCATTGCCGTGAGGAAGAAGAAGCTAACGGCAACATCACCAGCCACCCCCAAGCAGGACAAGGAGAAGCCGGCAGATCAAGGCGGCGAGAATCAGCAGAGCAGCCATGTCGCCGCAGGGGCCGCTGCTGCAGCTATGGAGAGCCCTTCATACAGGCTAGCTCTCAGGAGCCTCTTCTCCTGTCGGAATTGCCACGCGCAGCGCGCCGCCCCGCCGCAGCCAGCGCCGGCGCTGGCAGATGACATGGCCAGGAGGTGCAAGAAGAAGTCCAGGAAGCAGACGCAAGTCGGCTGCTCCGCCTCCATCTACAAGCTCTGTGACGCCAGCCCGTGGTGGGTCACGCTGCACCGCGCGCCTGCCGAGGATGAGCTGCCCTCTGGCTCCGCAACTGGAGCCGGCGAGCCGTGCAAGCGTCGGGCGTCCGTGAGCGGTGCCGGCGAGCGGCGGGTGAAGAAGCTCCTGCAACAGCCGCAGGAGGGGCAGAGTGAGGCGGGGGGCGCCATGGTGGTGGGCTCGTCGTCGAGGCACTGCATTGGGGTCGTCCACTGCATCCTCGTCCTCATCGACAGCGGGCGGCGGCGGGTCGTCGTTGCGGCTTGCGGAGGTTGTCGGGGTGCGAGGATGGACACCACAAAGGGATGGGGGCACGGCGATTGAGGGATGGGGGCGCGGCGGCGAGCAGAGGGACGGTGGCGCAGCCGCGGAGGAAGGTTTTTTTTTAGAACTCGGAGGAAGGGATAAGGTGCTTTATTGCCTGGCGAACCGAATAGATCAGGCTGAGGCCCAGCCAGTTGTCGGGCGCACCGGGGGAGCAGGCTAGGTGGTCGCTGTGAATGTGGCCCAAGCGGGAGTCTAGAAGCGTTATTTCAGCCGAACGTTTTTGTTTCTTCAGCTGAAAGTTTTCTACTCCCTCCGTCCCAAAATTCTTGTCTTAGATTTGTCCAAATACAGACGTACCAAGTCATGTTTTAGTATTAGGTACATCCGTATCTAGACAAATGTAAGACAAGAATTTTGGGACGGAGGGAGTATAATTTTATTAGTATCAGCTCGAATATTGCTTTAAATTCAAACTGAAAGCGTAAAATCACGCAAAGAAGCGTATTGTAACGGTGAACCACGGAGTCAATCCGTGCTTTATTATTATTAGGGAAAGATAAGAAAAGATACAATATCATTCATGGTTTCTCAAACCAATCCCTTGTCACAGAAAAGTTAGCTAACACCTTATTTGTTTCTATATTACAATTTTCAAACCTAATAAGAGAAAAAACAAACGCCATAATACTGTTGGGGAACGTAGCAGAATTTTAAAATTTTCTACGCATCACCAAGATCAATCTATGAAGTCATCTAGCAACGAGGGAGAGGGGAGTGCATCTACATACCCTTGTAGATCGAGCGCGGAAGCGTTCAAGAGAACGGGGTTGATGGAGTCGTACTCGTCGTGATCCAAATCACCGATGACCTAGCGCCGAACGGACGGCACCTCCGCGTTCAACACACGTACGGTTGGGAAGACGTCTCCTCCAACTTGATCCAGCAAGGGGGAAGGAGAGGTTGATGAAGATCCAGTAGCACGACGGCATGGTGGTGGAAGCAACGGTGATCTCGGCAGGGCTTCGCCAAGCTCAGGGAGAGGGAGGAGTGTCACGGGAGGGAGAGGGAGGCGCCAGGGGCTAGGGTGCGGCTGCCCTCCCTCTCTCCCACTATATATAGGGTCCCTAGGGGGCGCCGGCCCTAGGAGATCCAATCTCCAAGGGGGGCGGCGGCCAAGGGGTTGGCTTGCCCCCCAAGCCAAGTGGGGCGCCCCCCACCCCTAGGGTTTCCAACCCTAGGCGCAGGGGGGGCCCAAGGGGGGCGCACCAGCCCACTAGGGGCTGGTTCCCCTCCCACTTCAGCCCATGGGCCCTCCGGGATAGGTGGCCCCACCCGGTGGACCCCCGGGACCCTTCCGGTGGTTCCGGTACAATACCGATTACCCCCGAAACTTTCCCGATGGCCGAAACTTGACTTCCTATATATAAATCTTCACCTCTGGACCATTCCGGAACTCCTCGTGACGTCCGGGATCTCATCCGGGACTCCGAACAACTTTCGGGTTATCGCATACTAATATCTCAACAACCCTAGCGTCACTGAACCTTAAGTGTGTAGACCCTACGGGTTCGGGAGACACGCAGACATGACCGAGACGACTCTCCGGTCAATAACCAACAGCGGGATCTGGATACCCATGTTGGCTCCCACATGCTCCTCGATGATCTCATCGGATGAACCACGATGTCGAGGATTCAATCAATCCGTATACAATTCCCTTTGTCAATCGGTACGTTACTTGCCCGAGACTCGATCGTCGGTATCCCAATACCTCGTTCAATCTCGTTACCGGCAAGTCACTTTACTCGTGTCGTAATGCATGATCCCGTGATCAACCACTTGGTCACATTGAGCTCATTATGATGATGCATTACCGAGTGGGCCCAGAGATACCTCTCCGTCATACGGAGTGATAAATCCCAGTCTCGATTCGTGCCAACCCAACAGACACTTTCGGAGATACCTGTAGTGTACCTTTATAGTCACCCAGTTACGTTGTGACGTTTGGCACACCCAAAGCACTCCTACGGTATCCGGGAGTTGCACAATCTCATGGTCTAAGGAAATGATACTTGACATTCGGAAAAGCTATAGCAAACGAACTACACGATCTTTGAGCTATGCTTAGGATTGGATCTTGTCCATCACATCATTCTCCTAATGATGTGATCCCGTTATCAATGACATCCAATGTCCATAGTCAGGAAACCATGACTATCTTTTGATCAACGAGCTAGTCAACTAGAGGCTCACTAGGGACGTGTTGTGGTCTATGTATTCACACATGTATTACGATTTCCGGATAACACAATTATAGCATGAACAATTGTGACGCCCCGAGACCGATGTGCCACGTGTATTCCTGTTATTCGCTGTTGTTGCCTTGTCATTCGCTTGCGTGTTGCATCTTGTCATATCATCATGTGCATTGCATCATCATGTTTTCAAAACTTGCATCTATCCCGGCCTCCTCGTTCTCTCTGTTGTCCGTTCTGAGCCCAGACACACTTGCACGCGCCCGCGACATGTCCGAAATATTATTTTATAAGTGGCCGGAAAATGTTCTCGGAATGGGTTGAAAGTTGGCGTGTGGTCTTATTATAGTGTAGATAGACCTCCTGTCAAGTTTCACCGCATTCGGAGTTCGTTTGTTAGCCCAACCGTTAAGCTATAGCGGCATTATAGCCGGTCTTTTCGTCGGACGTTTTCGGTCTTCGGAAACAGATGTCGGGCTCTCTCTCTCTTCTCCCCCTCACAGTCTCGCCACGGCCCACCTAGTCCATCCTCTTTCCCCTCTTCGCTTCCGGAGTTGTCCGATGCGATCGCACGGCCCGAAACCCTCTCTGCTCAGTGCATCAAACCCCCCCTCGCGCGCACGTCCTGAAAGCTGTCCCGGACCCGACCCGAGCAGTCGTCACCGTTGTGTCCGGATCATCCCCAAACGTCTACAAAACATCACCATTTTCTTATTTGGACTTCCTAGTGTTTTATTCTTAACCGCTCGATTTTAATTGGAGGGACGGATTAGCCCCTAAACTTCCCTCTTTTCCATATATATAGTCCACTCCTAGACTATTTTGGACAAACCCTAAAATCTAGGGACCTTGTCCCATCCATCCCATCCCCACGCCGCCGCCACTCTCCTTGTTATCAGCGTCGAACCTGAAGGAAATATGCCCTAGAGGCAATAATAAAGTTATTATTTATTTCCTTATATCATGATAAATGTTTATTATTCATGCTAGAATTGTATTAACCGGAAACATAATACATGTGTGAATACATAGACAAACAGAGTGTCACTAGTATGCCTCTACTTGACTAGCTCGTTAATCAAAGATGGTTATGTTTCCTAACCATGAACAAAGAGTTGTTATTTGATTAACGAGGTCACATCATTAGTTGAATGATCTGATTGACATGACCCATTCCATTAGCTTAGCACCCGATCGTTTAGTATGTTGCTATTGCTTTTCTTCATGACATATACATGTTCCTATAACTATGAGATTATGCAACTCCCGTTTACCGGAGGAACACTTTGTGTGCTACCGAACGTCACAACGTAAAAGGGTGATTATAAAGGAGCTCTACAGGTATTTCGAGATTAGGATTTGTCACTCCGATTGTCGGAGAGGTATCTCTGGGGCCCTCTCGGTAAAGCACATCACATAAGCCTTGCAAGCATTGCAACTAATGAGTTGGTTGCGGGATGATGTATTATAGAACGAGTAAAGAGACTTGCCGGTAACGAGATTGAACTAGGTATTGGATACCGACGATCGAATCTCGGGCAAGTAGCATACCGATGACAAAGGGAACAGCGTATGTTGTTATGCGGTCTGACTGATAAAGATATTCGTAGAATATGTAGGAGCCAATATGGGCATCCAGGTCCCGCTATTGGTTATTGACCGGAGAAGTGTCTCAGTCATGTCTACATTGTTCTCGAACCGTAGGGTCCGCACGCTTAACGTTACGATGACAGTTATTATGAGTTTATGCATTTTGATGTACCGAAGGTTGTTCGGAGTCCCGGATGTGATCACGGACATGATGAGGAGTCTCGAAATGGTCGAGACATAAAGATTGATATATTGGAAGCCTATATTTGGATATCGGAAGTGTTCCGGGTGAAATCGGGATTTTACCGGAGTACCGGGAGGTTACCGGAACCCCCTGGGAGCCATATGGGCCTTCATGGGCCTTAGTGGAAAGGAGAAAGGGGCAGCCCAAGGTGGCCGCGCGCCTCCCCCCTCCCCTAGTCCTATTAGGACTAGGAGAGGTGGCCGGCCCCCCTCTCTCTCTTTCCCCCCTTGAGGATTCCTATTCCAACTAGGATTGGGGGGGGGGGAATCCTACTCCCAGAGGGAGTAGGACTCCTCCTGGCGCGCCCCAAGGCTGGCCGCACCTCTCCCCCCTAGCTCCTTTATATACAGGGGCAGGGGGCACCTCTAGACACACAATTGATCCCCGTGATCGTTCCATAGCCGTGTGCGGTGCCCCCT